GATTAATGTAAAATATTGCTCTGCATGATCTGTAAATAACGTAATTTAACCAATCACCTGCTTAATTTATTGGAGGTAGCTTCATCTTTTGAGACTGATAATTGTCATTACCTGTAAAAACTGCTGTATTGGAGTATTTGTCCCAAATGAAAGTGTGTTGTGCTCAAAAGCAGTTAATTGAATGCTAGATTATCCAGCTTAACGTTACTTTTGTATGACTAAGAGTTTAGGATTTCCAAATAGTCAGACTTGGTATATTATAATTTTGGCCTAGTTCACACCAGATTTGTTAGGCGAAATTATAGTGTAAGCATTCACATACAATTAAATACTTCTAACACTACAGATGTTTTTCAGACACCGGCATATAGCAAAAGATCTGCTCTGTCTTAAATGGGAGAATTATTGCCTTTTTGGAATGGTGATGAGATGAATTATATTATGGAGTTGCATTGCAGCACTAAATACAATTGCAGCTACATCGCATTTAATTAAAAATCCCACACCTGTATGTATGCGCTTGCATTTTCAATAAATCTTGAGACACTTAGCTTAGTTGTGAAGATCTTCTAGATCTGTTTCCATCTGCAGTTATGACACAGACTTTGCTTATCCTTCCCCATGTACTCCAGTGTCGCATTACAGCTGCCATCCATTTTCAACTCCAGTCTGGCGTATATCAAAGGTCATTTTGTTGTCAAAAAAGAAAATTTTAGGAATGGCTCCCTAGTAACTCTTCTGCGTCAGGGTTTAACTGGCTTGTTCTACAAAGGACTTCATGTAGACAAGGGTGCGACATCGAGAGACATTCCATGTTATTGGCAAGTTTGGGCACTTTTCCCCAGCTGTCAAATCAGATGTTTCTGGATGTCAAGAGAATCCTTTGAAAGTCCCAATTCTGAAATTATGATATCTGCCTCTGTACTCATGGATTTTGAGTTAGTTACTTTTAGGTAGTTATAAAACAGTTAATTTAAACCAAAGGTCTCCATCCCTTGTTCTAAAGAGTGCCAACTCTGCAGGTTTTATGGGTAGACATTAAATCTAATTCTGAAGGATTTTACTGAAGTCAGTTTAGCATGTTATTTGTTAAATTAGGTAATTTAGATCATTTGGAGCAAAAATCCCTTGGCATTCAGGGACTGGTTTTTCCTTAATTACTTGAACAGATTACTTGAGTCACCTGTCAACAACTTACAAGTGTTCCCCATTTTTACTTAAAAATAGATTAACTGAGTTCTGCACCTTGATTATGAATATGTACATTATGCAAGTTTTGGTTCATTCGTTCTGTTACCAAATACTATTAAGTGTTTGCTACTATACTGTAACACAATCATCGGGCTATTTTTTTAAAGTTACCAAATAGAATTTTCAAGCACAAGGCATGTCTGTAAAGAATAGGTGTAAAAATGATTTTCTTTTATGTGTGAAAAAACAGGCGAAGAGTTGCTGACGTTATGACGGTGATATTATCTGTCCCTCCTGTGAAGTGTATGCTGCTATTGCTTTCAGTAAAAAAGTGACAATTCAAATATAACCTGTAATAACAACAGAGAACGTGTAGTGGGAGGTTAATTACAGATGGGGAAAGACGCTTGTGTATAGTGTCAGGGCATTCATTAACGTAGAGAGGGCAGTTAAGTTTTCTAAATGGTTTTTCTTGGCCGTCGGTGAGTCTGGTAAAGTGTCATTTTTGTCCATGCTCCATTTCTCGAGTAGCCACAGTTGTGAAGGTATTACCATGATCTTTAAATCATTAGTTACTACAGACTGAAAACAATGGCATTTCTGTTAAGTATAATAATTTTTATTAAAATTCATTAAAATTGTTCTTTATTTTGTTCTCTTTTCCTTCCTTTCTCCTTTTGTTTGCAGTGAGCAAGATTATCATTGCTATAAAGTATAGCCAATTATGTATTGTAGTTCATTTATAAATCAGTTTAAAAGGCATAGTTTATCTTCTGTTTTGTTGCTTTTGATTTTATAAGAGCTTCTAAGAATAGGCTGTAAGTTATTATGACAAAACTGAACTGGTGTCTGTCATTATTCACTTACTGTAAGGGATATTAACAGTCCTATTCACTGGGAACAGTTGTTCTCAAATATGCCCGCACAGCTCTGTGTGAGCAGGGCATGCCCAAACAACGCTGGAGATTTTTTCTCGGTGTCATTAGTCAGTGGTGTAGTTCTGTTTGGGGGTTTTTAAAGAAGCATAGTTTTGGAGACTTGTTTTGTAGAGGGGGGTCTTGTTGGTTCAGTGCCAGGCAGCAAGTAAAGTTCCACTGTGCCCAGAGAGAATGGGAGGGTGGAGGAAACATAAGAAAACTTGTAAAAGCAGCTTGAAGAGAGAGTAAGGAGAGCTTCCATTTCCTTGAAATCATGTGACTTCACTTCGTCACCACTTTGATTGCAGGCATGTTTACTGCTCAGGATTAGGTTATTGAAGTGCACCGGCTTCCCTGTTTTCTTTTAAGTATCAAAGGGTTTTGGAAAGTGGCTGTTTTTTTTACAATGTTGAATGTATTTTCCATATGTGGCTGTCAAGGCTTTTTATAATCCATCAGTGTTTGTACAATTATGCATATACTTCACACGTTAGAAGGAATCATCTGTGTTTTCCTTTTAATTTCATACAGAATGTCCTTTTGCTTCTGTAGTAGGCGATAGTTATTCTTGGCATGCCAAACTTTCCATCAGAAATTACTGCTGACAAGTTTTCGAGAGCAAGATAAAATGAAATAAATCAGTGCTAAAGTGTTTAATCATAATCCTTCAAAAACAAGGAAAAAGGAGTTCAGCAAAATACTGATTTCCCTTTATTGTGCAACGCCTAGTAGTTCATTTTGTAGCATTCTTTTTGGGAAGCTGTTTTTCCAAAACGCAGCACAGCATCATTAAAGTTAGTAGGGTCTCGGCTCCCATTTTAATCCGTATTCAATTTGACTCAGACATTCCAGGTAAATAGTTTAGAGCACAGCGGACAACAGAAACTGAAAGTTACATTTAAACTTCATATGGTCAGCAACTCGATTGACTTTTTAAAAGTTACAGATTGATGAGTTCGCCTCATTTGAAATAAGCTTTACAGGATAGATAGCTGGACTTTTTTAAAGACAATGAATTAGACTTTTTTTAACATGATTGCTGTAGGAATGTCAACAGGGATAACTGGTCTGCTGCTAAATTGCTAATATTAGCAGAAGAATTGAATAAATGCTTAGAAGATCAAGTTGGTTCTAACTAAAGTATGCCTGTGATGCTTTAGAAAGAGGCATTAAAGAGTATTCCATATACAGATCATGCTGCCTTAGAATATTTTGTAGAATATTTTCTAAAGTAGTATTGTATGCTTCTTGTAAATTGTAAAACATATTCTTGGCTGGGTTTGCTGCACTTTTGGATGTGCATATACCTTATGGTATTTTTTATATTATTGTTAATTATTCTATAAATAAATGTTTGATCACATTTGGACATTTATAAAAACACTATACACGCAAAATCTAAGTACTTCACAGCATTTTAATCTTTTAAAACTAATAAAAAAACTGTCAGTATATTAAATTGTATTGTTTTAGAGAACCTTTTGTGAACATTTGGTTACCCCACCTGTTCCTTTTCCAGAAGATGCATCTGTGCCATTGTGACTAAATTGAGATTCAACACAGGCATGATTTAAAGGTTAATAAATGATAAAATGTCTAAAGTTATCAGTTAGTAGAGCAGCTCAACTAACATTTGTCAGTATTGGCTAAAATTGGATCAAGCCTATAAACTGTAATAACTCAAAAAATGAAAACCTGCAACATTGATTATTTTTGTTGTTTATATGTTACAGTATTTAAATGCATTTAACCTGAAATGAGAACATAGGGTATTTAAAAGCCCATGTACTTGCACTGATTAAAAAAAAAAAGTTAAAGCAAAGTTTCAATACAAGGGGGAAATGTTACAATCCCAGGTCTTGGACCGATAATTCGATGGATCAATATGATGCAAAGGAGCAAATTGAAAGGTCTGCAGTCCGAGAACCTCTGCATTCTAAATGCTGCAGGTTGGCTTGTATTAGTGTGAAAATATTGCAGAGGTTTCACAACTTCTTAATATAATAGTGAAAAAATATTGGTTAAGTGTAGATAAACACATTACATGTACTGATGTGCTAGGTTACAATTCAGTACTATGTAGCATGAGAAATGAAACTCTTATTTATCTGGAATGTTGCATGTGATGAAACATTACCCGTCACTACAGTTTTGCAATAAGAAGCGAGTCCCGGAGAGTGAGCTATTTATCCGTCTTGTTGTTTCAGTTAATTGTGAGTTATGTTTTGTTGCAGTTTAACCTGTTTAATTTGCAGTCCTCGCTATCGTCCTCTTATTCACCTGTTTTGCCTTAAGTTGACATTGTGCCAGAGTTTTCCTTAATATGTCGTGCCTCAGGATTTCCAGAGTACAGCCTCCGCTAGAGGATCGGATCTTCCCTGGACAGCCCGGAGTCACTGCTGTCTACAGTGTGAGTCTGACGTCTTTACATCCCGTGAAGACTTCTCCTTATTTATTCATTTACTGAAGTGTTTATTTAACTCTGTTTACAGTATAGATACTGTACTATACTGATTCTACAGTATTTTAAGCATTACCAGAACATTTTTTATAAAGACAAATAAACTATAATATACCACTTCTCGGGATCAAAGAGATATTTCCAGGAGTATATTCCAGAAGAGCAGTGTCATTTTGAAAGTGTTTTTTTTTTTAATTATGTGGAAAAACCTCCCGATACCTTTTTAGATTCTCACGAATAATTAGTCATCAGTTAGCGTCAGCCCGCTGACTCTCCCTGCCCTGCCTGTGACGTTCCAGGCTGCACTCAGTCACTGAAATATCTGCTGATGTCCACAGGCTGTGAAGGGGCAGTATGTAAAAACTGAGAACAGAAAATAGTTCAACATCTTTGATCCTCACTTCTAACTATTAATACCAATTACTAGTATGACTTTAGTTTACCCCCTTACCATTGACAACTAAGTTTCATGCCATAGTTTCAAGCATTTTTAGATTTTCATTGTTTTTATGGTCTGCTTCTAGTAAAATAGTTACACTTGAGTAGTGCTTGATTGTATTGAGTTCATCCAAAAATAAAGTCCAGCATTTCCTTGACGTTATAATGGATTTCAAAGTATGCCACTTTTGCAAAAGTTCTGATTGAATTCCTATGAATTGGGATTTGTTCATGTAGTGAACTCATTAGGGTCCCACATAATGGGATAGTAACCTGCCATTAAAGTTTCTCAACACACAGATTTTGCCAGTCAGCACAGAATATAGTCCCATCTCATTTGTATTGAAATATTCCAGTGAGGTAGAAAACTACTTGTAGCACCAGTGCTCTTAAGTGCTTGATATTGTCACCCACTCCCTGTGTGCTGTTCCTAAGAGTGTTTTATAGCTTCAGCCTCAAAGGGGATATGAGCTATTAATTGATTTATATATTTATTTCTGGTTGTTTAACCAGTGAAGAGGGCCGTTTTGCATCTCATTTCCTCCAGTTTCCTGGCAGAGAAATGCAGCAGTGCAGACTTACACATTGTATTACTCACCTTAAGGTTATGTTGAGCCATGAGTAAAGGATTAATGAAAACTGAATGTGGGAATAGAAGGTGCAGGTCTGTGAAGTAGTCTGCTTCATCACTGGGCTAAAGTTTAAGATTGGTGTTATCCCTGTTGTTGCTGCCTATCCAGTTGCTCATTTTCTTCTTCTGTTTGAGGTTATGTTATTGGCCATGCCAATGAGCTATTTTAGGCTGCACTAAAAGCTGGATTTTTCTGGAATGTTATTTTTTTGGAGAATATGTTTCTTGAAAATCTGAAGAGGGAGGCTTCCCAGACAAATTTGATTTTTTCCCCGAGGTCTTTTGAAAAAGCCTTTGCATGAATTTGTAGAATAGCATGCAGTATAAACAGGGATTAATGCCGATAGTCTCACAAATGCACACGCCATATAACATAAATTGATGGATTATAGGAAGAAGCAGATGATCTAACCTGGCTTACATTTTAAGTGTCCATTGATGAATGTCTTTCCAGCAAACAAAGTTCATTTGTAGTTGATTGTGGACCGATGTCTAATGGTGGTGTTCAAAGCATAAAGAAATATTGAAAAAAACCTTATTCATTACTGGGTAGCTAGAACAAAATGTTACATTTAGAGTATAACATGGAATGCTGTATTTTAGGAACATTTTGAAATTTTTTATAAAACTATTGGAACACTCAGGGGAGAGCAGTAAATATTTTTTTTCCTGAAAAAAGAGTGCCAGCTCCTTTGTCTTTATTCTTTGCCAGTAGGTTTAATTTAAAGCCAGACATTGTCCCCTATAAAGGGCCCTATGATCTGTAAGGTCCCAAGCTGTAGTACCGTTTGGTAGATCTCTCTTAAACCAGAGTTTCATCTGACCTGAGGTCAAAGCCACTGATGCTAAGGCAGCAGTATTGAAACAACAGCACGGGATCCTATAATGAAGGGAGATTAGCACCCTAATCTCCTGTTAAACTTCAGATCTGGGTCACGTTCTCCCAATACCTGTGAAGCCACTACTAATCGCAAACCTCAGAAGGACCAGTGCATTGAGATTGCTTGTTGGTTCAGTGGTTAAATTCTCTGGTTAAACTAGTACATAGTACCTTACAGTTCTAGGAACAGAGTACTTCTAGTTACAGAACTACTAAGGCAAAGTGGAAACCAGTGAATCAGAAGCATATTTTTACCTAAATTGTGAGTACAGAGTCATCAAAAATTGTGATAATGTGCAGAATATAATCATTCCAAAGTAATTTAGTTAATATCATGATGCACTGAATTTACTTTACAGAACAACATTGAATTTCTGCTCTTTTACGTTATCCTATAGTAGTCATTCCTGTAGATAAGCGCTGGTGTTGTACTCGTGAGATTGCGTGCCCTTTGTTTTAGAAATGCCCAAATATGTGACCTGCTGTTTTGAATTCACCGGAATTCACTGAATTCAACTTAACGAGTATGTGACAAGTCTTTCGTGACTCATTTTCCGTCTTTTTGTGGCTCAGGTACCAAGGCCACCTGGCCCTCCATATTCAACACACGAAATCACCAAGGGACACCCTAACCTTGCGGCCACGCCGCCCGGGCACGCCTCTTCCCCAGGACTCTCTCAGGTATCAGTATCCACAGTACACCTATATCGCTACCTTATGGGCTGGGAGTCAGGCGGAGGGGTGAGTGCGACCGTGTGTCACTGTGATTCTTTATGTATGCGTCTGTGTTCCGGCTCAGTGCTGTCAGTCCGCGTCTGTGTTTATGTCCTGTACTGTCCTGCTGTTTTCTTTCCTTCCCCACCCCACCCTCCCCAAGGTGCTTGATGCTGCTGGCTGTGTGTGTTTGTGTGTGGGAGAGAGGTGCTGACAGGTGGGAGAGGAGATAGTCTGGTTGTGTCTGCCTGAGTGAGCTCATTGATGAACCCTTAAACCATCTCTTTGTGAATATGAAACCTAAAGCTATAAATTGAAATTGCTAGTGGCCTGTGGAGTGCTCTTTCATTAAGAAGCTGCACACTAAACATTTCTAATCTGTGACATAATGAGAACCCAGGGAAAATGCGAAGGAAACTGTGGCCTCTTGGCTTGTAAAGCTTGTGTGTTTTGTTACGGTGCATATCCAGCATCTACACAAGTAAGGAATGTAAATAAATCTGAAAATGAATAAAATACTGTTTTTTAATGAACAGAGTAATGGTCAAGATGAACAGTGTTCATACATTACAAATGTATTTTGGTTGATTGTTCTGGGCCAGAAAAAGGGATAGAAAACCACAGGTTCCCTGTAGTTCAGCTGATGCCCAACAGAGTGTGGACATTTAAGGGACTATTTCACATGGCTTTGTTTGTGTTGATAAATGTGGGCTTGTTACTGTTGGGTGTTATCTTTATTTCTTTGTGCTCAGCTTTATGTGAGCCTCTAAATTTGGTGATGCCTAGTGTTTTAGCCTCTGTATGTGGGTGTGCGTGGTGGGATAGCTTGTGTCTGACTATTTTTGGAGTGGATGTTTTGTGCATAGGGCTCATTGTTTTTGACATCCTCTTTGTGCATCTGCCTTCCTTTGTTTAAGCTATAAATTGACATTTTAATTTGCCACTTCTAATACTATGTTCATACCAATACATACATACTACTACATGTATACCTACACATCTTTTAAATGATTTTTTTTTCAGATTCCACTTATTTCCTGTTAGTAACAAACCACTTTAAAGATGAACAAATGCACTTCCATAGTCATATGTAAAACTGATAGATAAAATGATAAAATGGGTTGGGAATGGAGTGGGTATTTAAAGTGAACAGCACTGATTATGATGTAATCAGGCGAACATCTAAACAATCTGGGAATATCTTCAGGTTGTCAGTCAGAAGCAAACAGCTGTTGATTGTTTTTCTTCTGGAGCCATATCTGTGCTTTGGTATGCTTCACCTTTTAAACTACTGAAACTTTCCTTCAAAAAGAAAATGTGACTTGTGAATAAGGTAGCTGGATTCTAAAAGGTTTATCCATCCCTTAACATTTCTAATGGATTTACCTGAATCCATGACCGGTATGTTGCAAATAAATAGATTTTGAAGTGAAGTAGTTCATTCTGTACAGCTCTATGGACAGCTCCCCCCAGGCAATTGTGCAATGATGGGCAGATTTGTCGTGAAGAATTTGTACCATTTACATTGTCTTCTGCTCTCAAGTCCTTGTCAAAGTGGAGTAGTTTTAAATATACACATTCAAAGACCAAAACAATGAGGTCTTGTTTCGCTATAAAGTGAAAGGTTGGAATAATTGTGTGTAGAATATTTGACTAAATAACCCACCAATCATTATAATGTGGTAAAATAAGCCTCAACAGTTCACTTAGGCATGTCCTGAGGGCAACAGAAGGTTCAAAAGAATAGTGAAATATCAAAAAAAGAATTCTGCAGGGGAGTCATTACTTCCTTTGTTTCACAGTCTTTGCATTTGTCCCCAGAACCTTTAGAACCTTAAGGTACACATCTTTCTTGAACTGTGTACTTGAGACAACATATTGTCTGTTGTCTGTTTCATTTAACATCAGCAAACGTCTGCAGCATCTGGGCAGTGATATAGATCAAAGCCTGTTTAAAGACAATAAGGTCAATATCGGACATGATCATGCTGAAATTGTGATGTTGATGAAGCCAGTTGGGATTTCTTCTGATGTAGGCTCCCCCAGTTCTTGAAACCTGATTGTAATAGCCGAATAGATCATTAGATAGTAATTCACATATGGCAGCAGGCCAGAAGTTATGTTTTTGTCTAGACTTTTGCAGCATGTAGCGGGAGAGACTGTTGGGCTGTGCAAATCTTTGTTTTGTGCGTGAAAGGATTTCTTTTGGTGTGTGGAAGGTATTCAGTATGATTTTGTGGAATGGGGGTATCAATACTGTATGTCTCCAAGTGTGCTCCAATGTGTGTCACTTTGTGACTCCCTTGTTTTGAAACTTTTTGGTGTGTATATTTTCATTTCTTGTTTGTCAGTGCATGCTCCTCTCTTTCCATAATTGACCAGGAAATGAAAGTCTGTCAGGGTGACTCAGCTGTTCTCTATCATGCTCACTCTGATTAAAGAGCTCAGATTTCCCCGCCATGGCAGTAGAAGGAATCGCATAACCACCTACGTCACTCCAAGGAACTGTTGAAGTCTATTAATAATATCTCCAGCTATCACGCCTTCTCATGCAGGCCTCCCAACCCAAGGAAGCAGAAATTATTTTTTTAGCCCCCTAGAAGTATATCGAGTCAATAGCCAGCCTCCATGGCCTTTTCAATGCAGAAGTGTATAGGAGGCATCAGACACTCCCCACCCCCACCACCCTCCTTTTGCAACTTCCTCTTTTCTTTTATTTCTCGCCATGGTGACAAAAAAAAAACATTTTAACATGCTGCACAGCGGCCTCCAGGACATGCCAAGACTGCAGTAACACCAGCTGGAAATGTGGATATCTGAGCGAATATCTGGCTTTCAGCTCACTGAACCTCGGGCCGAGGTGCCATGCTATAAAATTAGCTTGTCTGCTTTAAATATGTTTTTAAGCCCTGTTTTTACCACCCTCTTGCTCTCTCTTTCACCATTCCTTCCCTGCCTTTAGTCTCCATACACCTCTGGACAGAATGCTGGTACCACACCATTGGTGTACCCTCCCCCCACACAGCCAATGAATGCACAGCCACAGACGCGCCCGGTACGTATTCTTCTGCATCCTAGCAGCTCAGGGGGTTATGGATGGTAGCAGGACACTCAAGACAGCTTTATGATTCAGACCAGTGAAGAACGAGGGGCAGTGCCGTGTTGGAGATAAGCGTGTGACGTGCCCTTAAAAACTTAAGAAGTGTTTGAATGTATATTTTATAAAAGAACATTTTGGTCATCATTTCTAGCTGTGCATGGAGGACTGAGTTGGAAACATTTATTCCCAGCATTTTATATAATGATAGAATTCTTATAATTGAAAATTGTCCCACAAGCAATGTATTACAGCAGAATGTGAGGGCACAAAAAGTTTATGTAAATACATAGAATTCATTTGATCTGCTGATTACGTCCTGTAATGTAAATCAAGCGAGAGGTTTGTCTGTGAAACTGCATTTCAGACCTGTGCTGTAGTCTAACAGCTGTATTATACGGCCCTTGGGTTGCAAAGTAATTAAACTCAACCCTTTATAAATTGTTTTCACTATGTTCTCTTTCACAGCTCTTACATCTTCTCTGGTTGGACTAGTTGTGTGTTCATTAGTTTTAAACTGGCAATGATTTGATTAAACATTAGGAACTACATTGTCGTTTTAGTACTTAGAACTTACGTTGTCAAGGGAGACTGCTCCAAAATGGTTTTCATTGAATTTGGATCAGAACGAAACAATAAGCCGACTTTGTCGAATCTTGACCAGCATGTGTAGACTGGCCCACACATTAACTGTGACCCACACACTAACTCTGTGCTTTTGACGTGGGTGAGAGGATACTGGTGTCACATCAGTAAGTACAAATGGCAAGTCACCCTACTGAACACTGTTAAGGCTCTTGTCTCTGTAGCATCTTTATAAGCAATTCCTTGTTCAAGTGACTAGACTGTCCCGCTTTTGTTGTTTTATTTACTGAACCTTTCTCACTTTTTGCTTTTCCTTTCTTTTTGTGCTTTGCTCCCAACTCCCACCCCTGAACATCCCCCCCCCCCCCCCCCAGTTTGCAACGGGGCCTCGTCCTACCCATCACCAGGTAATGAACCCCTTCATTTCCTTCGCACCGTTTGTACTTTGCAATATGTGTTGCCCACGACAGCCCAGATCGAGATGTTTTTTTCTTTGTCGTAGAAATAATGATGCTGTATAAAGCATGTAACTCGTCTGAAAGTTCAGTCAGCATGGTTTATCTACATGGTTGTTATAAATCAACAAAGACGAACATGAGGTTTTGTGTATGCCAGACACCCTGTAAACTGGCATCTACTGGCTTAACAGGACAGTAAGGAAAATAGTGCTGCACTGTCATCAGGAGTTTTTGCCATTCAGTTAGGCCATGTGTATAAAGCCAGGACAAATGGCCAGTTATCAAATTGTCTGCTGATTAGGAGCCTGATTTTCTTTGGGAATGCTTCATCTTGTTCTTGTCCTGCTTTTTGATAATGTTTACCACTGTGCTTATTTTATTTCACACTCTTTTCTGCTTTGATGTTCACAAACCCATTTCCAGGTTGTTAATTTGTAAAACATCAGCACATACACATAAACTAAAACAAGACCCTTGTTTTATTCATGAACATAATTATGAAATGGATGTTATAAGGGATTACTAGTCTTCAAGAGTCTTAAAATCCAAAGGATGCAACTATTCATAAGAGATGGTAGAATCAACTATATTAACAGTACCAATAACAAAAGCCCAGAGTTCATAGAAAATATGGAGTCTTCTCCTTCTGTTTGAACATTTACTTTTTATATTTTTATAATATATTTTTTATGTTTGTATCTACTGTATCTAAAAGATGTAAATTCATGCTACATGAATAATTTAGCTCATCTTGCCTACAATCTCAGCATAGTATAAAGAAACTTAAGGCAACGTAACACTGTTTCAATAATTGTTGGGAATGTTATACAGACACTTTTACAGAGGGTCATGGACAAATATATGCACAACATGTGCAAAAGTTACTAGCATAGTAGGTGAGAATTCACAGAAAATCCCAATAAATTGGAAATTCTGGGTTAATGAGTGGCTTCTGAGGTCTGGATTACAACTCTATAATAAAAGGTTTGACAGCTGGGCTGTGCTACACTTACTTTTAAAAATTCTCCCTTTAATAATGTTTATGTTTGTGTCTGCTGTATCTAAACATGTGTGTGCCCCGGGATACCCCAGGTGTCAGGAGGTTCTCTGATTGCACAGCGTTGAGTGAGCTAGTCTTAAGGACTGTGCAGTACGTGTAGGAGTGACATCTGACTTCTGATTGACCCGTCTGTTGTCTGCATTGGAAAGGTGGTGTGGAGAGAAGCAGCACACCTTGCTGCAGCTCCCAGAGGACCCTTCCCCTGGGGCGGTGTGGAGTTACAGTGTGGGAGGCATAGCATGTAGCAAACCCAATTATGGATGAAAATAATTAACCATATGTTTCTTTTTTTTTTTTACTGTGACATTGTTGATGCCTTCGTTTGTGATGTTTATCAGGCAGCATAATCTATTCAGTAATTCATCTGATAACTTCATCAAGATGACCTTCTTAATCACCGTATTGTGCTCCATGTCTCTGCAGGATTTAAATTGAAAGCACTTTTGTACTTGCACACAATGCATTTCTGCTCGGGGTGCTGAGGTGTCTGTGGACACTGATTAATTCTTATTGGATTTTGAGTTCTGTTTTTTAATAGATTTTTTTCTAAAAATGCTTCATAATTTTTCATAGCTTTAAAAGGCTGAAGTACAAGCTAATATTCAATAGATCCTACCAAAAATGTTTACTGTAAGATTTTTGCAGTTAGATGCCGTTGTTTCTAATTGTATTTTTTGTAAGTTAGTGTGGTAAATTGCCTCCTCAGAAAGGTTTCAATCAAGTTATGCACTAGAGGTCTAATTTACATGTGCTTTCTTCTGTCTCCTGTTGGACAATGTTGGATTTGGCAATATAGATAACATTCTTTTCAACAGAAATGTTATTTGTGTAATGCTATTATTTTTGTTGCTTTTTAAACCTCTCATCTGAACAGCTCAAAACACTAGCATAGAGTTTTAGATAATGGCAAATAAAGATCTGAGGTCACGTTGTGGAACAGTGCTATTAGACCATAATATCTTTATCTTGATTGGATTTTAGTACAGGGTTATATGTACTAAATACATGGGCTGTGCAGCTCCCAGAGGACCTTTTCCTTGGGAATTTTCGGGCGGGGCGGTGGCTCTGTGGCTAAGGATCTGTGCCTGTGGCTGGAAGGTTGCCGGTTCAAATCCCGCGGTCGGCAAAGGAATCCTACTCCGTTGGGCCCCTGAGCAAGGCCCTTAACCCCACCTGCTCCAGGGGTGCCGTACAATGGCAGACCCTGCGCTCTGACCCCAAGCTTCTCTCCCTGTCTGTGTATCTGTGTCTCATAGAGAAAAGCTGGGGTATGCGAAAAGATGAATTCCTAATGCAAGAAATTGTATAGGGCTAATAAAGAAACATTACATTACATGTATCCTACATATAAACATTGTCCAAAGGCTAGTTTCTACCAAATAGTGGCGGTGACTTATTCTCATTTGTTCAATCAGAAGAGGGAGGTAAATCTTTTCTTCTGGATGTGTAGGGCACAGAGTTGATGGATTTTTACTTTTTATTATTGCCTTTTTTTATATTGTTTTCTAATATCAGCATAATGTGTCAGTCCAAAATTCAACTCTAAATATAGAATATATGAATGTATAGAAAGGAAGAGTTTGTACAGAAAAGGCCATGTACAATATTTGGGCCATGTACAAATGTGGTTTCATTCTTTGCCTAAAGAAGGTTTTGTTTTGTTCTGAAAATGGAAGTATGTTTACTTTGGATTGCTTATTCCACTCAGCATTTTTAAAAGCTGTTATTCCACAGAAAATACTGGTCATTGTTGACAAACCTTACATTACTAGAAGAACATAATCATACTGGAAAACATACAGTAGCAATCTTTTTCTGCTGTTACAGTGTAGATAAATGATAACAGAACGGAAACAAACTGCTAGAGAAGTGGCTGAAAATACCATGCTCTGACAGGTAGAGCAAATTTGCATGTGTGTATGCCAGGGGAGGATGCATGGTTTTTTATCAATAAAGTAAAGCAGGACCATTTTTATGTAGAGAATTTGTTTACAGACGCTTAAAAATACAGGCCTGCAAAAACTAGATCTGTGGGAAATGTATACTGTGAATTAATCGCAAAAGTGTGTTGGGATCTTCAGTAGGATATGTCATGACAACTGCTGTAGCTGCCAAGAGCAGTTTTCAGACAGCTACCAGTTCTGTCCTTCCTTGGATGTTCTGTAGACAAAACATTTACTTTCATTTGTGAACTGTTGACGAGCATGTTGATCTTTTCCCTTAATGATAAACTCTGATCCTCATAAATTATGAAACTGCTTTAGTCCTGAAATGGAGATGATTTTTCTTCATAGAATCTGGACAAGAGTGAGTAAAGACTGTTAATACTAAGTACATTTTTTGTTTTTCTGTTAAATAAAGTAAGCACAGTGCTATTTCACATTTTCCTCCTCCTTTGTGCCTGCAAAGCAATTGGTTTCTCAGAAACGAGAACAGATAGGAATGCATTCTCGACAACAGGCTCACTGAGTGAACCCTGAAGGTTCAGCCAAGTTCACTGCTTGCTTCCTGTGCCTGTCTCTACCTAAAAAGTGATGTCATTTCATTTCCTGAACAAGAATGCACACTTCTAAGATACAGGCCTGTGCCATTTGGAGGCTTTCAGTGGTAGGCTATAAAGAAACGTCTCAGGTGACAGAAAAAAAAAACATGTGCTAGTAACAAACCATGTAACCTAGGTGCTGAGCTGAATTCTCAAACAGCTGCCTGTCTGTTGATTGTGGGCAGATGCCCCTTCTGTCTGTTAGCCTGTCTGTCTATCCTCTACACGCATCAGCTCAGTGTGCCATTGGCTTCTCTCTCTTTCCTGCTTCAATATTCAAGGGAGGATTCAGGCCGATACAGGTAATTAAAGTCTCTGGATATGCATGGCATGAGCCCCCTGTCTCCACCCAAATTTGTCTGCTGCAGCCCGTGCCCCACCCCAAAGGATGCACACCCCCTTTGGTTTTTTTAATTAAGATTTTCTCTTATTTCATTCAGTTCATTTTTTTTTTTTAGATGGTCTCGGCTATTGTTTTTCCTCTCAACTCTTATGTTGGGAAAACAGCTTTTCTCTTTCTATTTTACTTTGCTCGTTTTTCTTTTTCGATTTACATATTTTCATTTCTCTTTGGTATTCAGTGAAATGCATGTAGAAGAAACAAATCCTTTTTTAATTGAAGTAGGGTTTTTCGAAAAAGGAATATAGTCTGGAAGATCGATTGTTTGAGGCAATATGTCTTGATGTTTCCCACAAATTGTTTCATTGGTATTTGTGAGACATTGTATACATTTTGGTTTCACTGGCATTTTTGTAGAAGTAAATGCTAATATTTCATAAAATTGTGAAAGACATTTTCTTTGCATATGAAGTAAGTACTTTTAAATGATTTGAATCAATACAAGCAATTGGAACTCTTCACTTTGCATATTTTTTCAAACATTTATGTATCACAACATTCATTTTAAATCACTATGAATTTTAATATTGACAAGTCTACAGCGTTGCTCTGTTTGAATGCTATCTTGAAAATGTATTGCCTAAATGCGGTTTCATTTCTCAGTCATCTTGCGCTGTAGCCTTTTAGCAGCCATGGAATATTTGCAAAATGAAGTTGGTGGCCTCTTTTAGGTTGTCATCCAGGCTAATTTGTTTTTTTTATTATTTTCTTAACAGTAAAATGAAATGGGACAATCTTCTGCATTGGGAAGATTGGTTGAGAGATGTATTGGTTGAAAGAAAAGATGTACTGATTTAGGACAGCAGTGCTCTCCTGTAACCAAATTTGGATTTCAATAGTACTTCGTTATCACATGCTTCCTTTTAATTCTAAGCTTCTTCTAGCAAATGCAGTAAATATTATTACTGTAAGTCATAAATCAAGTAACGCGTATGAATTAAACTTTACGGGTGAATGTAAAGTTTTTTTTTTTTGACAAGTAATAACAGCTTTTTATAGATGAATTGCACAATGGGACTTCTGTTCCTGCCTGTGAGTAATGCTGTTGATGGTGTTTAACTTTGATGTGTTGCACCATTTGCTTAGGTGCACCTAGTATTGTTTTTATGTTAAATCCTTTGTTGCAATATTTAACTTTCAGTTTAAATTGATAAAATATGTCATCTGTGCTAGCAGCACAGAAGTGTAAAGATTAGCATTGCTGCCTTGCAAGCACAGGGCTCCTTGGTTTAAAGCTGGACCCGAGGCGCTATCTGTATGGAATTTGTATGTCCTGCCCGTGTACTCCTGGGTTTCCTCCGGGTGCTCCGGTTTCCTCCCACAGTCCAAAACCATACTGATAGGTTCATTGGCCTGTGGGACAACTGTCCCTATGCGTATGTGTGTGCGCGCGCGTGTCTGTGTGTGTCCTGTGATGGACTAGCGTCCCGTCCAGAGTGTACCCTGCCTGTTGCTTGTAGGTCTAGACTCTGGCTCCCTGGCAACCCTGAAGTGAAAGAAGCGATTGGAAAATGGATGTAATCTGTACTGTGACATCATTGCATACTTGTGAAGATAAAAGGGATTTCTATTTCATGTTTACTCATGCCCTGCATTGTAAAAATCTGCACTGGATTTCAGTTCTCGGGGCCCACCATGGTTTAGACTGAATGCTGGAGCTTTTCTGTACATCTTGCACCACTAGCAGCATCAAGTGGAAATTGAAACACGTGTCAGTTAATGCACAGAAATGTTAATGTCTCTAAAAATGTGCACTGTCCCTGCTGGTGTTGTGCGCTGTCTAGAATTAATTATTAATTTTCTGTCTGCTCTTTACTCAAAATGAATTTCACATTGTGAATCCTAATATGGGACATTAAACTTTAGCAAAATCGTCTGCCTCTGAAAGCCCAAAATGACTTTATTACACCCTGACCACATACGTGGAAAGAGGATTCTCATTACACCTGTTACCTGCAATTTATATGTGTATAAACCTATCACGTTTAACCCTGAATTGCAGAATGCCAATTCCTTGTTCCTTCAGGGTTGCACAGAATCAATATCCTATCAACCTCATTTCCCAATTCACGAAAGTGGCATGGATAAGCGTGCAGTTCTTTACACTTCCTTTATGCCCAGGAGTACTGGACATAAAGGCAATGCAGTCTCGTTTTTAAGTCTTTGGAAGAGCAACATAAAATGTCTGGTTACTACCGTGGACACATCTGGAAGACTCTTTTTAGAAACTCTCCAAAAATATAACAGAAAAAAGACTGGCACCACTATATCATACAGTCTGTGCTGCTGAATGTAGAATTATCCCAGCCCCCAAATTGTTTCCAGCTTAGTTTATCAGCTCTGTCTCAACAGTTTTTGAGATTTCTTAAAATACATCACCCTTTTGATTTTGTTCACCAGTTTGTGTGTTCAGATATTTTTTCAGTTTTAAGGCACTAGGCTACCTCTGATGTAGAGATTTATGATTCATAGTCAGTTGCTTCCACACTTATGAATGAATTTTTCTTCATGTAGATTGGTACAAACTGCAACAGATGACACTCGCAACTTTCATTTTTGTCTATTTTTTTATTTTGGAGTCTGAAGGGTGTCTTGATTTATTTTTTAGCAAAGAAAAAGCAGTGGTTTGGCATTTTCAGCTAAGGAACAATTAAATAAGTTGAAGTAAGAATACTATGAAGTCTAAAAGGAGAGGTTCTTTCAAACTTAAATGTCAGTAAGCAGTTAGCAGCTACTGCATAGTTATGTGAAAATGTATTGCAGTGTTTGTTAGACTGACTTTCCCTTGCAAAACTGTTGCCTGACTTGTTCTTGGCTTGTTTGCAGGGCATGCCCAGCATGGATAGCCACTGTACAAACAGTTACATATTATGCTGTTTACAGTCCTTGACCCTGGGTTTGAGGGCACATGTTTTACACATTTTATTAATTTATTTCCTGAACAGATGCTAATATCTATTATCATTCTGTTTGAGGGGATAGTTCCTGTGCCTTAAACAGATTATTGGTCTTCACCTTAACTTTTTTTCTGCAACCTTGATGTTAATCAAAACACAATTTCTCATCATTAAAGTGGTCTTCAGCAAATTCTATTAGTCTCAGACATCTGTACATTAAAGAGACTAAGATAATGTTTGCCTTTAGCATAATCTGTAAATTTATTACGCCTTGTGTACAGCCTTAAATTATTTGTTGGAAATGCATAGAACCTTTATTATTTTTTTAAATTTCACAGGGTTTATGATGGAGACAAATTAGGTACTGGACTGTACTGTGATAAAAGGTTTTGAGAACTCCATGAATGACATCAGTAACCCGTAATGTCAGATGTTTTTGTAATCCTAAATGACCTTTTCTGAGCATGCTTTTAGCCAATGTGCCGGACTGAAGCAGTCACAGCAGGCTTTGCTCCGAGCTAGTCTTCTCTGTGCTACATAATTTCGTCTTTTCTCTCCTGCAGTTTTTCCAGAGGACTCAGATGCAAACGGCACGAGCCACCATTCCAAGTAATAACCCTTCCATTCGGCCTGGATCCCAGACTCCCACTGCTGCTGTCTATCCCCCAAACCAGCCCATCATGATGGCCATGACACCCATGCCTTTCCCCTCGCCACAGACAGCCCAGTACTACATACCCCAGGTGAGAAGGCCTAGCAAGAGGGGGAAACTGTGAGGTGTGCACTGGGAGAGCCGGTCCCAAGCTTCTGGGCTGATAGGCAGTGACTTTGGATGGTTTGAAAACTGCTTTTGAGTCTGGTCTTCACCAGTTATGGGTGGGGTCTTTGGTGGGCCTTAACTCTAATTTAACCCCTGGCGGTGGTCGTCTTGTTGATTATTTTTCCTGTCTGTTGTGGAATTTGGTGCCAGTTAGTCATATGTTTCTGCTTGTTTTTATTTCCCAGTATCGACACAGCACTCCCTACGTTGGGCCTCCACAGCAGTATTCAGTGCAGCCTCCAGGGCCCAACACCTTCTACCCTGGACCTGGCCCAGGAGAGTTCCCCACACCATACGGTGAGTCCCCTGGGGGTTCACAGAGTCTCTGTGCTGCTTGTTGCTGTACATAAGGGAACCTGACTGGTTTTGCAATCTGCTCATGTATAATTGGTACAAAATTCAGAGCTGATATCCTGGAAAGCAATTGACTCAGATTATCAGATTTTGCCTTTCCAGTTAGCGGTGTTTGGCACTGAAAACATTTATCAAGCAGGAACGCAATTAACATTTTTAAGTGGTTTATCCAGTGTTAAGAGTTATCAGATGCTTCAAGTCATTTCTCGGATTCATGTACTGAAAGGACTGGTGTCTTGGTTTTTGTTACACCTTATCTATCAGCTGCATAGTTGGTCTACTTAACTACATAACTGTAATACTTATAAACAGACACTGAAGTGTTTTATAGGTAACTGTGCCTGCAGCTAAGTGAATGTTTTAAGTAAAAGACCTTACGAAAAGTACACAATTATCTTGTGTCTAAGAAAATAATTGTGTTATTGACTGCTCAGATACTAGACTACCATAAACAAATTTTGTTACTCCTTCTTTAAAATGCTTAAAAGGAGGAATCTTTTTTTTAAATATCATTGGGTGAGTTCCCACTGATTTGTGCAGTGTATTTCATTGCCAGAAGCAACTTTTACCGAGTAGTTTGAACCAAGCTTGCCACTTTTAATGTGGTCTCTCTAAAAAGCCATGTTAATTTAAGAAAATATCAAATTTGTTATTGACTGAATATGTTTGTACCAGATTAGGTCTTTCTTTTTGTACCTATTTTTCCAGATTTGGTTGTGTTTTTTTTCCCTTGATGGTGTTCCATCGCCACCGTGATGATAATGGTGATTTTAGTGTTTTGAGACGAGTGTTTACATCCAATAGTGATTAGTGATATTCTAGCCAAGTCTTCTAGATAGTTCATGTTTTTTTGCAAACCTCATACGAATCACTGTGCCAGAACAATCACGTCACTTAAATTGACCCTTTCAGTTACTGTGACTGTGTAACAAGAAATGGCAATAATCTGCTGCTTCTTTTCATAGTGAGACAGCACTATGCAGCCTTTCAAATGTCAAAGAAGGAAAAGCAAAACTTCTCATTGGTTCCTCACAGCTCCTGAGTAAAAATAACTGGAACAACCACAATAACAAACTAACAGAAAAACTCTTGAATGAGGAAAACTCCAATCTTTTTTGTCAGGGTTACTTTCTTTGCCTGGATTTTGTTTTCAAGACCGCCCCTGCTTCTGTTCTCACCACTTCCCCCTTGCTACGACCAGAAAAGACACATTTATAAGCCTCCTGCACATGAGCCGCAGCTGTCTGTCTGTTACTCTGAGGACTCAGTGCTTGTCAGTCCCACCTCCTCTGCTCCCCTACCTGACTCCTGCCAGAGACGGTTATCTAAAGGAAAAGAAATTCATCACCCGTTTGTCCTCGCAACCTGTTAATTCCACATATGATGAAGGGTTCAGATGGATGTAACCCTGTGAGCATGAGTAGGGTCTCAGGGAACTGCTGATCATAGAAACAAAATAACACATTCGAGAAAGATTTAAAGTAAACAAAAGTGAATACTTAAGTAATAATAAATGATAAGACTATTACATCTTGAATTACTGAGAAGATAATTAACTGATTAGTAGCAACATTTTGAATAATTCATTTTTTATAATTTTAGTAGGCTTATATATATATATTTTTATTTATGTTTTACTTTCTTGACCTAATGTTGTAGCATGTTTATATAGGAACAAGTAAAGGTTTATTCCATGCTGAAAAGAGAAGAAAAGAAACAACGTTTCGGCTGTGGAGCCTTCTTCTGGTGTTTATATAGTTGGTGATGGGCTGTATTGGATTGTAGAGGCAGTTAAAGTCATACATTTAAAACCGTGTATGGTCTTAGAAGGAATGTTCATGATGTACGGTTTATATTTTTAACAGAAGCGTTGGGTGGATCCCAGTGCTTAAGAAAATAAATGCTTCTTAGCTCAAGAAAAAAAATATCACATAGTAATATTTCTGTCTTGGAAACTCCCACAGATCCATTTACAAATGGGTTGAGCACTGTGGAAGCAGCACAATACAGTCCCTTCTCTCTGTTCTTGGTAACCTCATTATTGATAGCTGGCTCTCTCATGATCCTACGCCTGTGGGCTGGGTACGCGCCAACGTTAGTTCTCTCTCATCTGCACAGTCTACAGACATGCAAAGCCAGCAGAGTCTGGAACAGCAGTGGTCAAGCAGACAGGTGGAGAATGCCTAGTGTACAGGGGGACGCTGCAGTACAGAGTAGCAGAAATCAGGAAGGCTCCTGACCTCCTTCCACCTCACCTAACAAACAGTAATCTGGATAAATCTTATTGAAATGACCTGTGTACTCACTGTGCTTCATGTACTTCATTTAAGATCGATAATATTGAAATGAACTGGTAAAGTGCAAACAATTTTGAAGGCTTCCTAGCAAATCCCCACGCACCTAATTTGACAGTCTGAGTGAACTTTAAGTAAACTAAGGATGAACTAGTATAAAATTTAGTAAATTTGGAATTCATTGACTGAATTTTTTTTTTTTAAAAGGACAGTTAATGTTACAGGGTATGTTTGGCCAAGAATGTGATGACCTTGTGTGGGTGTTAAAAAAAAATCGCTGCCATTTGCAAAATACAGATTTGAAGTCGATTTGAATATGATGAAACACACCAGGTTTTCAGGTCAGTCAGTGCAGGAGTTCCCAAAACAGTGGTAGTTTGAATTTTGTGAACAACATGATAGTCAAATGCCTGTGGTTCATGTAGGAATCCCGTTTCGACATGTTAATTACATTGACACTGAAACAAGAACTATCAAATTTTGTTATTCCTACAACTTTATTTACCAAACAGTGCTTGCAAAGGAGCCGTTCGCGTTTATCCAGACTGCTCATGTAACCTGCTTTGGGTGGGAAAATTATTAGAGCAATGTGTGAGATACAGATCAGAAGCGGCCTTGATTACATCTAAAACATGCCAAGCTTTGATTCAGTCAGTGTAGCGGTTCCCATGACAGGCAGCATGAATTGAGAAATCAAAGTAGTGCATGTGCAGGAAAGATAGTCAGATGGTATGTTCACAGGAATATTACATCTGGATTTAATTGGCCAAATGTTTGTTGAACAGCAGGATTTCGGGTTTGTATGGCTGCGTAGCAAAGAAAAATCATTACTCAGGCAGCCATCTTAGTTTACACAGGAACCCCATCTTCACTATAGATCCATCCTGTTGGTACTAAAATGATTGCTATAAGGTTTGGAGTTAATTTTTGAGCAGGAGCATTTCACATGGAGGGCTACATTATTTTAAGGAACAAGTAATAGGTTTATTCCATGCTGAATAAACCTATTACTTGTTCCTTTGCAGCCTACGCAGGCTGACGCAGCTACCCACCTGAACTACATTATTTTAGGTGGTTTATGATCCATTGCAGTTGTAAAAATGATCATAGCATCCATTCGGGTGCAAACTTTAAAAAGCTCTAGTTGTTGGTGAAGTCTGCCAAGTTTCAGTCCAGCCTGTGCAGAGATTTTGAAAGGGTTTTCAAATACACGGGTCATACGGCTATCTTGTGTGATGCAGGACCCCAGGTTTGTTAGAAATGTAATGGTTAATCTTTTCCAGAATCCCTGTTTGTTCTGAAATCTATCAGAGTTCTCTATGCCAGAAACACCTTTAATAATGAACAGCACTTTTACTTGGAATTAATATGAACCTTTGCTTAGCTTTTCTTTTTTTTAATTAAACAGCACCACCCTATTACACTGGCCAGACGGTGTACACCCCCTCTCCACCCATCATAGTGCCTACACCGCAACAACCTCCACCTGCCAAGAGAGAGAAGAAAACGGTGAGTGTCTGAAGGGCCAGCGGGGTGCATCTGAAATGTTCACCTGAACAAAATGGACTGGCCTTTCCAAGACCACCCTCTGCCAAATCTGTGCAACGCAAAAAAAAACGTGCACACATAGGGGCAGTATTGTTAGGTCTCCCCATCAGAATTAGATGATCTGGAAAATTGTAAATCCAGGATTATCTTGTCAGTCAAAAGGTGTGTAGCTGAAAACAAGGCTGTCGTAAAAGGTCATCTGAAACTGATACAGGCAGTATTAATCTGGAGGCACTCATCATTCAAAATTAGATATTTGAAATTATGTGGGGGGGGAATCTCTTATACAAGCACCTCCTTTGGCACGTTGGCGTAAGATCTATGACGCTGCTTAAAAGTCTAACCATTTCTTCTAGATAGAACAGAAAAAAATGTTTTCAGATTACAGCGGTTACTATCTTGGAAAAGGAAATTAGACCCTCCAGTGTTCAGAGGATGTCTGCTTGTCCTGCAGTCAATAATTTGAACCATGAAATAGACTATATTCTCTGTATTAAAAAAGGCTCCAGCGCAGATGCTGTAAAACTCCCAGTGGCTTTACTCAGGTGGGTCTTACCTAGTGTTTTTTTTTCCCAGCCTGAGATGATACTGTAATCCTGCTTCTCAGTACTGGCTGTAAAGTAATCTGTAAAAACAAATCAGACATCTTTGTGGTCCCTTAAAAGTTATTACCCCCTCTAACATTTATTTTAAATCTTTTTTTGAGAGCCATTGTACAAAAGCACCTTGAAGCAAAAGGTCTGCATTTTTGGGTTGGGAATACTGTATTGAATTGTCTAAAACCTACTTTGAGTAGGTCAAAGCTTTGTCAAAGCACCTCGACTGCTTTTGTGAGGTCGCAACTTTTTCTCCCCTGCCACTGTTTCTGCAGATCCGTATTCGAGATCCCAACCAGGGTGGGAAGGACATCACGGAAGAGATCATGTCTGGAGGGGGCGGGAGCCGAAATCCAACACCTCCTGTGGGAAGACCTTCCTCAACTCCCACCCCACCACAGGTAAGAGACCGCCCAGGGAAAAGAGAACTGCAGTCAGACCTAGCATGATGTAATGGGATGGATAATACTGAAATTGGATCATGCTCTTTGTGTATTTTATCTGTCTATAAAAGGACCATTTTGAATTTTAAGGTTTCAAGGAATTAAATGGAATTAAGCCTTTTTAAATGTCAAAGTTGGGATTTCGTCATTACTAGTTAATAGGTAACATATTTTAGTTGCTTGTGAGCATCTTTTTTTTTTCCCTGATTGGAAACTAGTGATCTGATGTAGGAAAATACTCTGCACCAATGTCTGGGAGCTGGGTTATCTAATGGAGATAAACTTAGCTAGAGGACACTCCCTGCAGTTCAGGCTGGAATGTTGGTTTCTTCACGAGACAGGGAACCAGGGTAGACTAGGTGAGCCTGGCCTCATGGGAGTTCATTCTTCAAGGATCATTGTCTCTCCTTTATTCATGTTTACTTTCATGGATTGGAAAGACAAAATGACAAAACTGTGCAATGGACAGCAGTGATCATTTGCATGGACCCCTTGTTTGTTTTGTGTGAAGCAAAATTTGAACCACAAGGTTTGAGTATTGGTTACATAATGCTAAACGTTTCCTGTTGATGGGTTCTTAAGTGTCAGAATTCAATAGTGATTGTCTTTAGGCTTATCTGGACCATTGTTTCATTTGATTTCACTTGTTTGGAAAAAAATCTGTTTGCTTGGATCTGCATGCCATTCAAATAAATGATGTATCTGTAATGCATGTGGTTTTTCTAACCATGGTTTCTGATGCTTTAGGAATGTAGTGCTCTTTTTCTCCAGAAAAAAAGAGGGGAATATATTTTGTGACTTATAATAGATAAGTTCTAAGCCTGTGAGATACAATCTTAGCACACTAAAATTGATATCCACTAGGTTTGCAGATGTACAGTACCTCCTTGTCTGTGTCCTATGCTAGTTGTCACTCCGCCATGTGTGCAGTGCAGAGAGAATGAGTTCTCACTGTAGCCTAAATCTGTGACATTTTGTAAAGCAGTTTAAACCTGAATCCAGAAGACCCCTCAAATGCACTTCTTTCTTCAGAATCCTGCAAGTCACATCACAGTAGATATGACTTTCTAATACAGTATATATAAACCCATTTTTAATTTCAATGTTCTATAAGTTTTAACCTGATGTTTAAATTCTCTGTAAGCTTTGTTTTACAGCATCATTACAACACACTCCTGTCATCTTTAATGCTTGATCTTTTAAAATTGAACATAGTTGATGTCTGCAGTTTCTGCATGAACATTCAGCTTAAACTTTCTCATGGGCTTGTATACATAACTGGAGAAAAGGAATACTGCACCTCAAACACATTTACTGCCCATGCTTTACGAACAGTATTGTCTGCATTTACCTCAAAGTGTTGTCTTGTCTTTTTCTGATTTGCTCCCTCTACAGATATGGATAAAATGTTTTAAAATAATACACACAGTAATGCACAGTCATTTAACACAGAACAAGATTTCAATAGTCCTTCAATAGTGAATTAACTAATAAGCCAAAGATTAATTAAAAGGCCAACATATTTAAGCCAATGTGATTTAGTGTAGTTTGAAAACAGTCCTAAAGGCACATAGCAACTGAAATATGGTACTAAATATACCATATTTAGTATGGTGTACTAAGTACCAAGTTCTTATTACAGGGACTGTCACAGATGTGATCATGAAATAAAGTTGTTCATTGTCGACTGTACAATAGTATTTTCAGTGCAATTCAGTATAATTTTGGTAGTGGAAAGGCAAGATCAAAACTAAAGGCTGTATTGATTTGTGCTGTTAGGACACGTTCAAGATTTTGTTAGTTCAGAAGAAAATGTTTTAAAACCAAATGATGTCGCAAAGCTGAAAGTCTGCCTTGTGGAATCTTCTGAAGTATAAATTAAATACTCCTGACGTTTCACAGTTTGTGTTCTATAACTTTCACTGGACAAATACATGGCAAAGTGGGTGTAACCGCAGAGCTTTTGATTTAAATATCATCAATTAAAAAAAAGTCAGTTAAAATTAAAGCTACAGTGTGTTCTGCCCCCACTCAGTACATTAAGCAAACTGAGCACTTGAAGAGTGCAAGTTCATTTAATATTGTTAAAGTAAATATGAGTTCTGTTCATGATAGTGTTATTCCCACATTACTCATTAAACGTGCAAGAATATAATAAATTCTCATTATTTTGTGAATAAAAACATCTGTATATTATAAATGACTTCAGACAACCACTTGTACTAATGATAAAAAAGGCAGAAAAGAATATGGGCCTCCAGCATAAGGAAGACATTTATCTTCATCAAATATCACATCAATCCGTATAATCACTGCAAAGGATAAAAGTCCAGTCCTTTCTATAAAATGCAAGAGAAGACTTAAGTAGTTGAAGGAAGAATATATGCTTAGTGCTGTATTTCCTTATAGTAAGCACATTTCTATCTTATTTTAATTAAATTCATTTATTCATAAAGCTAATTACGGATTTTGTAATAAAGTATTAATTGTATGTTAGATTTGCAACATGTTAAGTGTTAAGTCATATTGCAAGTGAACAGGCCACGTCTCTAACATTGTCCTCGGAGAGGACTGTATCCACTCTGTAGAGGGAACAATCACTATTGTGTTGTGACACTGTTGTCTTCTCTTTGATGTTAACAGTATTTGTCTCTCCTTTCTTTCTCCATTCCTGTTACCCATTCTTTTAATCCCTCTCTTCTTTCTTTGCATTTTCTGACCTCTTGTGTGTCCCCTGCCCCCCCCCCACTTCGTTATCCAAACCCAATGTGGCACTGTCCCAACCCCATCCTGTTCCTGCTCCCTGCAATCTCTCCTTCATCTTCCTCTCCTTTCTGTTTCTGCGTTCTTTCCGTGTGTGCGTGTGTGCATTCCACGTTGCTAGTTTTTATGTCCACACCCTCATTATCCTCACATTTTCTACCTCAAATCCCAGCAGCTGAGCAACCAGGTCCCAGATCACGGGCACATGCTGTACAGTGTGGAGAATCCCCAGCTTATTGCTGCAGCCGTGGACATAAAGCCAGGTTTGATAACGTTAGCACTTTTTTTTTTTGTTCCCTGCAGTAGTTTGTGCTTAGATATGATGTTTTGCACAATACCTTTTTGCACAATCTATTCTTCAATCAGAAATTCCTCCTTGTCGGTAATGATCCACACTACAGACTGCCCATACCATACAGTTGGACTGCATCAGCACAAAATCACATCTTCACCCCTTACAGCAACTTCTTCCAAGAAATAAGATGGCCCATGATGTCCATTCTGCTGTGAGCTAGTGTCATAATCAAGACATTAACAGTTGACCTTACTAAATTGATCTTACTTAATGTTGAGTGATATCCAGGTATTTTACCAGCTGTATTTTGAAACATGTTTGAACAAGTTCAGTTTTTTTAAACTATCTAACATGTAGAACATAAGTTATCCAGCAACGATAAATCAGCTGTAGTCATTGTTAGACATCATTTTGTGTGGCCTACAACTGAAACAGGTCAGTTGTATCTATTTTCAAACATCTGTCTGCCCCTATAAAATATCCTCGGAAAAGCAGGCCTCTTTTAAAATGCACTGAACTCTCTGACTGACATTCTTATTTTTTGGCTTCATAAAATGTCATATCATGTCAAAAGGCTCATTTTCAGAAGAAATGGATGGCTGTAAAAATGAAGTGTCTGCTGAGAGATTCTAAAATTTTAATGACTTTTATATTGTCGCCAAAAGTAATCGTTTATTATTTCCAGTCATAAAATAAGATTATTTTTAAATGATAACTGTGAGTTTAATAGACTGCGTCGTCCTGCGAGGGGAGCAGTTGTGTATTCTGTCCTGACTTGCGCCCTGTGCATCCGGCCGGGATAAACCCTGGGTTGTTGCCACCCTCACCAGGGCAAGCAGTTTCATGATAATGGATGGATGAGATTGTGCAAGTTTCAGGCGTGAACTTATTCCACCTGAGATCTTACTCTTTCCCAGTAGTTTGAAGTTTTTTTCCATTACTGAGGGCATCAGTGGCTCCAGCTTACCCTCATTCACGTATTGTGCATTGTTCAAGAGTCGTGACTTCTGGAGTTTGCACAGTACAGATGAACTGGAAACTCTGATCGCTACAGACTGTTATACCATTAGTTCACAGTTATGGATCTGTGAATTGTCATGGGTACAATTCACTGTTAAAAAACCTAGAGTAATGATGTGAATACAGCCTGACTTCTAAGGAATGTATGGGAGTTCCCAAACTAAAAGCAATTTCATCTTAATCAATTATAGAGCATTGTATGCAGACCTTGAGAACTACTGCCTTTTTCTTTTTGTAGCATTACTTAGGCTAATGTCTTGTCACTCACAGCCTTTGCTCCCTTTTAGAGTCTTAAGATTAAATGCCATGCTGGATGCAGACCATAGAACCTGTCACTACAGGAAAAAAAACAGTGCCACTCTGTCCTTTAACTACATTTGTTATATAGAAATAACATTAAATTGGTCATTTTGGGTTAAATTATATGAGTTGACTAGATTAACCTGTTTTAATTGGTTCAGTAACATGCTGGTTCAGACACCTGACATTTCAGGTCCAGCCTCATGCTCATTTGCTGTAGTAAAGCTAACTATGGAGAACAGTTAGCTTAGTAAGCAAAGAATTAAAAGCAGCTGCAGTTACAGGGGGGGTGCCATACATTATTTAACTGTCAGGAGGGAAATGTACTGTAAAAACATTTATGATTATATTGATATTTATGAAAACGTAATTTGTCCTTTTTACTAACAGTATAAACCACTATAAGCAGTCATTTTAACACGCTGTATATTATGTGAAATGCTGACAGGACCTTGCTTTACAAGGAGAAAACATCCTTTTTTTTTGCTGTAATGAAAAAGGAGTAAATGCCTGTGAGCTGCTGTTGATGTTGAAGTGATCAATGTTGCAGCCCTGGGAGGCAGACCTCTCCTGTGTAGGACCATTAGGTGTTCATTGATAAGTCTGAAATTCCCCAGAGGCAAGCCTTCATACAGGCTAAAAGTGTGGGAACTCTTTTGCTTCCGCTGCAGGAGAGAACGTGGATATTCTGATGTTGACATCCCTCATTGGCTAAGATGTTTTAACTTGATTATAATCATTTGAACTTTGATTAGAATTATGGGTTATTTATTCTCTACTTCTTTCTTCATAAATGTGCTGTCTCTTCCAACCTCCCTGATGCCAGACGACAAGCCAAAACTGGACATTACTGCGCTGAAGTCTTCATCCCCGGGGCTGCGACTGCCTGACACCCTTGCTGACAAGAAAGAGCCCAGTGGGCCTGCACAGGACTCCTCTCCCCCTGAAAAACTAGAGCTTCCCACCTCCAGTCCAGCTGTGGTGCCCGGCCCAGTCACGGCCACCTCTGTGCCCATTGCTGGCTCCTGTAAGCCCGTGCTTCTGGGGGAACGGGCGGAACCGCCGGCTCCAAAGGAGGAGCCAAAGCCAGCTTGCTCTGTCTCTCCTCAGCCCGAGAGCTCTGACTTTGAGCGGGCCATGCCGGAACTGCCCAGGAGTCTTTCCACTTCTCCGGCCCCCGCTGTAAAGGAGATGAACGGCCTGAGTGAAAAAGAGGCCGCCTCTCCTTGCAGTGACTCGGACTCGCAATCCCGGGAGCTGGCCTCTCCATCCCAGTCTCAGCCTGCAGCTTCCAACTCCAGTGCAGATGCCCAGGAAGTCGTTTCTAGAGAGGTCCGGGCGGAGAGTCCTCAGACAAATCTTGCGGCTGTTGCCCCAGCTGCAGCTGCCTCCCCTTCCTTCATCACCACTGCTGCTATCACTACTGCTGCTGCTGCTGCTCCTCCTCCTCCTGGCCTCCTGGTGGCCAGTCAGGGAACTGCTGAGTCAGGGGAGGCCAGGAGAATCACTGTGGGCTCAGAGGTGAAAGAGAATCCCCCTAAAGCAGGAGCGGGAGCAGAGGTTACACAGGATGAAAAGCCCAACTCCCTGCCACAAGCTGGCTCCAGAAAAGGCCCCAGTACGGGTAAGACTGTTTTGACTTGCTAGAAGTGCTGGCAAGAATGAGTTCTGTACATCTATGTGGGGCTGCACGGTGGCGCAGTGGCTAGCAATGCAGCCCTGCAGCGCACCTGGGGTGCTACTGTATTTACCTAGACTTTGCACGTTCTCCCTCTTGCATGTGTTCATGTGGGTTTCCTCTGGGTGCTCTGCTTTTCTGCCACAGTCGAAAGACCTGGCCACATTTCCCATTGCCCCTTACCAATCATGGCCTCCTAATAATCCCCTTCATTGAATTGGCTTCATTACTCTCTCCTCTCCTCCCCACTGAGAGCTGGTGTGTGGTGAGCGTTCTGGCGCACTATGGCTGCCGTCGCATCATCCAGGTGGGGCTGCACATTGGTGGTGGTGGAGGGGATCCCCATTACCTGTAAAGCGCTTTGAGTGAAGTGTCCAGAAAAGCGCTATATGAGTGTAAGCAATTATAATAATTATTATTATTATAGCTTAATTGGCTTCTGGGAAGGTCGACCCTGTGTGTGAGTGTGTCTGTGTTCTCGTGTGCCCTGCAGTAGACTGGCACCCCCTCCGAGGTGTACCCAACCTTGTGCCTGTTGCTTGCTGGTATTGTATGAGGCGGTTAGAAAAATGGATGAATGTTCGTGACTGTGGATGTAATGTATGTAAATGTCGCACCTCTAAGACTCCGAGGGTATCTCAGTTTCACGCATTTGGAAATAATTTGCTCAAACATGGTATTAGCTGTTTTTTAAAAATATGATAAACTATATGTATCATTTAACTACAAGCTCTGTGGTTACGGGCATGTGTTTTACTGGTCTGCAGGAAGGTAGTCTGTGAAAGTACAGAGCGAACCAGCTGAGAGAAACGTGAAAAACAAAACAAACTTTCCCTGCACTTTATATATACTGAGAAAAACATTAAATCAGTTCAGTGTACCTACAGAGTTTCAACCTCATTCTCAGTCAGTGTTTTTTTTTAACTGGGATGTGAAGCCATTTTAAATACCATAGGAATGTTCTGCTTTAAATAAGATTCCCGAAACAGTCTTATTGGAAATCAGTGATATCCATAGATCAAGGTACAAATATTTAGTACTGTGTTAGATTAGAATCTGCTTAGGTTAAAAGACCAGTGTTTTATTATCAGACTGTGTGCGTCTTTAATACAAAAATGTCAAAAACTACCAGACTTTTGGAATCCATCCTGGTACTGGTGCTGCTGTGTGCTGAGGTGCATTTTAATGTCAGCAATACAACATTGTAATGCTGCCACATTAAAAAATTCAATTTTGGTGATAAAGCGGTTATTTATGGGAACGTAGCATTTGATTTAGTTTTTATATATATATATGTTACATATAATGCAGATGATTCTTGATTCTTTATTAGTCTTACAGTACTTTCATCATATATACTTGTCAGAAGGTGTCTGGCAGAACAGCAGAAATACCACTGCAATTAAGGTCCCATTTGGAATGACGTGCATCGTTATGAAAGAGTTGTTAAATCCAGTACACCAATATGGCAGTGGTGGCTGCTGCTTTGAGGCACACACACTATGTAATACAAATATATATATTACAGTACATACTAAAGCACTCAAGGTTTCAAGACACCATAAAAATATTTCTATTTTAATTCCACTGAAAGTTAAAGGGTGAATATATTATTTAAAACTGCATAATTTTAAATCAGTCTCCACCCCAGCTGAAACATTGTATCAAGGTAAAGTTGTGGTCAAAGCTATTAATTTAGAATTAGTATGCGGAGGTATTAGCAACACATCCATGTAGTATCTCTGAAACCTGAGTTAGAAGAGCCTAATTGTGCTCTCGTTGCAGAGCAAACCTTCACAATAATTAACAAATTAATTGCTTATTCCACTTTATCTCGCACATTATTCTTGCACTTTGTTAATTTCTGTCTCCACAGGAATCGTTCATATCTTTCCTCTTGATGCCTTAGTTTATTAAGAGATGTCCAGAATTAATTTTCTTTTCAGTATACCGTAAACATTAATTGCAGTCCCATCGTTTATAATCTGGAATAAAATAAATCTCAGATGTGGAAAACCACTGATTAGGGCCGAGGATCAACCCTGACTGAGTAGCAAACCTAGGAATGCTCAAAGGACCTCACATTTCAATTTATGGTCTAACTTTAAAAAAAGTGTTATGTAGTTGTGCCATTAACTGCTGGGTTCTGCAAAACCTTTTATGTGAAAGGACTATGGTTTAAGTATGAAAAAGGCTAGACTGAAAATGTGATGAATAGTTCCCTATAAGAAGGATGTGCATAAACATAGTGTAAAGAATCCTTCTTAGATGAGTGGGTGTTCAAGTAAAGGAAGCTGCGTTATGCTGGAGGGGTGTTTTTTTCCTTAGACCATGTTTGAAGTGTGCTGCAATAAGGTGTTGTGCTAGTCTTGAAAAATACAGTATAATGAACCCCTGCCTAGAAGTGTTCTCCAGCTGCAGAATTTGAGAAACGTAAAGAAAGTTTTATAGACATTAACATTTTGTGTTAGATGAACTGTCTCCATAGCGATGGAAGAGCGGAAACATAAAAAACACATGTAATTATAGCACTGAAACCAAACTCAAAGAAAACAACCATGGCATGCCATGACAAATAAGACACTTGCTTCTGAGACAGCTGGCCCAGCAGTTTTCAATCTTAATGCGCGCAACTTATGCCACTACTGCAATAAAATCAGCAATAACAAGAATACGCATAGCAAAAGCATGTGGTGTCTTATCTTGAAAGACGATAGATCCTTAAAGGATCAAAAGACTTTACTATGGGTTGCTTCTGTGGCCTTTACATTAACCCAGTACAATAAAAAATGCATTTTCCTAAGTGGGGAAAATAAGTGGTCTGTTCATAGTATATGTACTTTTGTAATAAACACACGAAACCCGTGCTTAAATGTCAAACATTGTCTGTTTTATGAATGAGCTCATTGGGCACTGGATGAGGGTTTCCTTTCTCATTCCAGACTTCTCTAATGACTTTTAATAGCTCACTTTCCTTATCTTATCATCCAGTTACAGTTCAGCTTGGAAGTCTGTCATACTAATTGAGTTTTTTCTAGCTGAAACATGGAATTTGCTAATGAAGTTCCATTCCCAGACTTCACAATTTTATCTCACATCTCTGTTACCTGATGTAGAGCAGACACAAAGTTATGAAACATGGAACATGAAGAAGATGGAAAAACTAGGGTCTGTTGTAATTGGGGGGAAAAAATGTTTGTAGTTCTCAGCATACGGTATTTAAATAATCTATTTCTTATAGGTTCTTTCTTGCCCGATTGCTTCCTTGGCAGACAGATTATTAGCTTATTGTTTTATATTGTAGCCCATGCTGCTCCTACTGCACCAAAGACCTGGAAGAAACCAAAAGAAGGGACTCCAGTAGGAGAAGTGCCAGAGAAAGAGAGTGAGGTAAGCAGTGCAGCTACTCATCTCTCTCCACAGCATTTCAAGAGGTAGAATCCGAGGGCAGCAGTAATTTGTGTCTGTCATCCTTTTTCTTATTCAATTTCATACTGTCTCGTTCCAAACTAAGCACTAAAGTGGCATCAGTCACAGTCAAATAGAAACAGAATAAACGCTGTTGACATTTGACATAAATGAGTGACGGTATTCGGTTAGGTAGCATTATCTGCAGTGTGTGTGGAAGTAAAACTGAGTGTAGATTCTCCTACTATTAAGACCAGGGCTCCTGGAATGAGACATTCTGCTTACTTTTAGAGGAAAGCCTTCTGTATTTTGTGCATTTAGAGTCATGATTAAGTTGGGGTGTTATACCAAGTATAATGCTCTGCTTTTAGCCGAATTCCCTGTAGTTGACGTGGGCATTTATTTTGTGGACATGTTAAGAGGATGTTGTGCAGGTTGTAGTGCGAGCTCGATTGTGCTGAAAGGACTTGTGTGCCTTCGAGAGGCCTCACTCTCCCCCTGTGTTTGCAGCCTGAGCCCCGGGAGGAGCTGAGTGCAGAGAGGGCCCCCGACCCCGAGCTGGAGCGCTGCAGTCCCGTGCCGCCGGAGGGCGAGAAGAAGCCCCCCGTGCCGGAAGAGAACGGGGAGCAGGAGCCGGAGCCCGTGAGGAACGGCGGCGAGCACATCTCCGAAACCGAGAGCAGCGACAGCGGTGTCGCCCCCGGGGAAAAAGAGGGTTCCACAGGTGTGCCCCCTTCCACCTCCCGCGACGGCAGGATGTGCCTTCGAAAACAAAAGTTACCGTCATTTTGCGCAGCCCGTAGCGATTGTTAACATTTCGCCTTGCCTGAGTAGTTATCTGTTCTGGCTCCACCACTCCTTCAACTCTAGTCTCACTTCCACTTTTTTTCCCCGACCTGCCCAAACCCAGAGCCCATGGAGACTGAAGGGAAGAAGCAGTATGACCGGGAGTTCCTGCTAGGCTTCCAGTTCATGCCCGCTTGTGTGCAGAAACCAGAGGGACTACCGCCTATCAGCGATGTGGTGCTGGACAAGGTGCGGCCAGTTCTGCCTTGAACCCCAACATAGGAAAGTGCAGGCTCTGATCTGACTGTTGTTTTCTGGTATATGACTAGACTGTGGAATATAACACTCGGTTTCAGAAAACTGCATTTACTCATGTATGTCACTGTGTAGATTCTATTTCATTATTGTAAAGCTATTTAAAAAGAGTGAATCAGATGTTAAAAATAAAACCCTCTGTGTCGTATTAGATAATGGGACTTTATGACTCTTTTTCCATCAGTTTGGATTAGTAGTGTCAGAATATGTACATGACTGGTTTGTGTGGAGTGGGGTTTTTCCCACTAGTTCTGTTCAGTGCATTAACTCGGAGTTCTTGCAGATCAACCAAAACAAGCTGCCCATGAGAACACTAGACACAAGAGTGATCTCGCGAGGCCCCGACTTCACCCCTGCCTTCGCTGACTTCGGCCGGCAAATTTCAGGAGGACGAGGAGCTGCTGTGAGTTCTCTTTTTATAAAAGAGTCTTTTTAGAAAGAAAAGACAGTATGCAGTTGTGTGGGCCACCCACTATCTTCAAACCTCCTTGCCATTCCCACTCTGAATTTTTGTTGTTTAAAAAAAACAGCTGTCGAAGGTTTTTGGAAGAAAACTGTTAACATCTGTTATAACTCTTTAATTTCCTTCTTGTTTTTTGGGTCATTTATGATTTGTCAGAGCTCTAAGTTCCTGTTATCCTGTTATTCAGCCTTTGGATCTGGTTTACTGCTTGTAACATAGGTGTATATAAACATCCGCCTCACAATTGACATTTAACACAGTTGCCAAGCCATTGCCTGCTCTGTTTGATACTGGCTCACATTGCCATTGTTTTTTAATTTGACATTTTTGGAGGGGCAGGTGATATTAGCCTGCCTCCTTAGATTGTCCCTCTTTCTCTCCTCAGTTATCGTTTAATGCTGCTTTTGGTAAGGTCACATATATTCTACCATAGCTAACTCTTTACTAAACTACAAATGTCCTGTCAAGTTTTGTCAAGGATCACCTTTACAAAGTGAGATATGATAGCATTGGGGAAGACGTGCACAAAGCTTGAGTTCAAAGCGGTGTGTACTCAGTGACGAGCAAAGAATATACAATAATAGAATTGCAGATTAGCACTCACATAATATGTTTATTTGCCATTATATCTAGATGACGAAAAATAATGCAAACAACATGGAAAATCTGGTTAGATGGCAGCCTTTTCATTTTTTGTCACCCATGGAGTGAATTAAACCACAATTTACAATCCTAACTTTTCCTCTCCTCTCAATTTAAAGTATACTATATCCTTTCATAATATATACTGACACTCTTTGGGTTTAGCTGTGTGCTCCCGTTCACCCTTAACCTAGGATATTAGGATCATACATCCAAGATGAAGGATCTTACCACTACTGCATCATGGCGTTGAGGCTAGGGCATAGCGCTGAAGCTCAGACGTGAACCATTCAATATAGTAGGGGAAAAAACAGTTTTCTTACTTATCTTTTTTGTTGTTGTTGTTTTGGAGCTCACAAAACCGTATTTCTTTATCAGTCAGTGACTCCCCTCTTCATCTTTGCTTTGTGCAGCTCCTGAACGCAGGGCCTCGGCGGCCCCAGCCGCGCAAGATCATCATGAACGTGTCGGTGAACGACGAGGTGCAGCTGAAGAAGGCTGAGCACGCCTGGAAGCCCACCCTGAAGAGAGAGGGGCCCTCTGAGGACCCCGAGGCACAGAAAACAAAGGTTGGCCCTGCTAGCAGTCGAATGGCTGCATGTGTCCTCAGTGGCCCTATGCAGAGTTCTGTAATTTTATTTTGCAGCCACACTGATGATACTGGTTATGAGAAATGAACTAATGATGGCTTATTTGAAAAATGCAAGTGGAGGTATTATTTTTCAGTTTTCTTATTTTGACTGGTCTTTGCATTATTGTTTTTTAAATGATTTTATGCAGTTATTCTTTAATGCCGGCATAGACATTTTTTTTTTCATTGGGTCGTTTGGATTTCGACAACATGTATAAGTAAGCAGAGTAGCTTGGTTTCTTAATCATTTACGTTCCTAAAATGGTCCAATTTTGAAAAGTCTTTGCTCGAAACCTGGTTTGAGAGTGAGGAATGATGCGGAATTCAGAAAACAGCCAAGAATTAGGTGTATAAAAGGTATATGTGCATTTTAAAATCACAGTAATTTGGCTTAACCAGCATGGCTGAGGCCTGGCCGTAGGGCATGGAGGCTAAACCTCCCCTGCAGAGTGAGGAGTGACCACGGGGCAGCTGCAGAGGTGGAGATGGGGTGGGGGAGAGATGCAAACAATGAATGCAAGGAGGGGGAGATAATGTGCAGTATTTATGATGTTTAAGTGAGGAAGTGACATCATGATTGATTACGAATTAAAGTTGAGGATGACTGATCTTGGCTGTTGTCAGCTTTTGTTTTAAACTCTAGCACTGTTATACCTGGTGTAGGTTATCTGGGGAGTGATGATATGAAAGAATGTTTCACTAGGCATGCGTCTCCTTGTCCAGGAGCTCTTCCGCAAGGTGCGCAGCATCCTGAACAAGCTGACCCCCCAGATGTTCAACCAGCTCATGAAGCAGGTGACGGAGCTGACGATTGACACAGAGGAGCGCCTCAAGGGGGTCATTGACCTGGTCTTCGAGAAAGCCATCGACGAGCCCAGCTTCTCTGTGGCCTATGCCAACATGTGCCGCTGCCTCGCCACGGTAAGTGTGGGCAACTTCCCGCCGAGGCGTGGAAACACAAAGCACACATTCCTGGGGCTTTCCATTCCTACCGAGTCTTCTGACTTCTCGGCTAGATGTCGAATGCAGTATGTTAGGAAGAGTCAGGACTGGAGGACCTAAGGTAAAGGCCTGAAGGGAGTACATTTATGTGCGCGAGTCAGGGTAGTTAATAATGAACTGGATGCTTCTGAATATATAGCAGAGTGGTGCGTTTATTGGTTATAGGATGGGGGACAAAAGCAAAGGGTGACATTGGGGGCTGTTCTAATATATCACTGAAAAGCAAATTTGCTAACATAATAAGGATATAATTGTGGTACCCCAACCATACAAAGATCACATAATTACTACTTTACTCGTAGTAAAGCATGAATTGAAACATGTTATCAATAAAAACATGTTTGAAATTCTTAGTTTCTTAGGACTTCTGTTTTGCAAATGATCGGAATGCTAGTTAATGACACCAAGGTGACATGGTAGTTATCTACCATGTAGTTATCTGCCTCATAGCCCTTGTATCCTGAATTCAGTTCCATTCTTAAATGCCTTCTGTGTGGATATTCTCACATGCTCATGCAGGTTTCCTCCTTGTTCTCCAGTTTACTGCCACTTTTCAAAGTGGGTAATTGGTATTTCTAAACTATCCTTGCGCTTTGCAATGAACTAATGTCCTGTCGAGGGATTTATCCCCCTTTTGCTATTAAGGGACAGTTTTTGGGATTCCAAGACCCCTACCAGGAATAAGTAGCTATCTGATACCAGATGGGTGGACAGACTGAACTTCCAAGAGGAAATTTCCCTTAATGCTGTAAACCCCTGCTTTATGATCACTGCCTTTAAAGCTGTGGAAGTGGAAGATGGACACACACAAGCGAAGACTGGTTCACACACAACCGATTGATCCTTTTACACTAAGATACCGGTCATGCTCACTGATCTGCTTTTGCTCCTGTCTCCCCAGCTCAAAGTGCAAATGGCAGATAAGCCGAACAGCACGGTGAACTTTCGCAAGCTGCTGTTAAACCGCTGCCAGAAAGAGTTTGAGAGGGACAAAGTGGACGATGACGTGTTTGAGAGGAAACAGAAGGAACTGGAGTCGGCCTCATCAGTAAGTCTCAACCAGTGTTCTTTCAGTAAGAATTAAAATTAAAATAATATTTTTAATATCAGTCAGGAATTAAACACTATTGTGTTATTGTTAATTGCACAGAATTTCAAAATTATCCCACTTCCTTTTCTTATTTTGCTCAAAGTGTCATAATATGGGTTGTTTCTTAATATTTTTAATTATTATTAATGATAATTTAAGGATGTTTCTAAGGCATGTAGCAGATATATTGTTCCCACTTCTGATCAGAGAATTGTCTGAATCTGTTTCGTGTCATGAGTTTGGATCCAAGTCTACCAAAGACTGTTGGACATTTAACTTTCTCATTGACATGTAGACATAGTACAGTAGTTCAGCTTATCAATTATCTACCAGATATGTACAGCAAGTGCTGTTAGACTGTTGCCTTTTGTTGTCGTTCATTTTTTTAAATTATTTGCATTTATTTTAACTGAAAATTGCTGCTGAATGCATTCTACAAGAATAGAAAACATCTGGCAGATTATTGCTTATCCTTCTCATTCACAGGTGTAAGTAAATGTTACTGTCAGTTCAGTTTATATGCTGCAAGACTTTTGTGAGTCCTAGGGCTCATACTACACTGAATCCCAACTCTGTCTCTTAGTGCATCTCCTCTCTCTTCCCTCTCCTCCAGTCCACGGAGCGCGAGCAACTGCAGGAGGAGCTGGAGGAAGCCAAGGACAAGGCGAGGCGACGCTCCATTGGGAATATCAAGTTCATTGGGGAGCTCTTCAAACTTAAGATGCTGACAGAGGCCATCATGCATGACTGTGTGGTTAAGCTGCTGAAGAATCATGATGAGGAATCCCTCGAGTGCCTGTGCCGGCTCCTCACCACTATCGGGAAGGACTTGGACTTTGAAAAGGCAAAGGTGAAGCTGACGTACAGCACGTTGGGAAAGGCTGGAAAGAAATTGATTAAATACACTCTCATCTTCAAAAGTCTGTATAGTGTGCTCACTCATTATACAGTTACATATTTTATATAGGTTTTTTAGAGTCTATAAAATAAGTGGCTACCTTTTGCATTTGTGATCTGCAAAAGGCTACCGCATACTGTGCTGGCATCTACAAGCAGTTTGTCATTGGTCAATGGGTTTGCACTTGTTGGCCTAGTAGAACCACATCTGTTCCGTGAGTCCCCCATCTCATGAGAAGCAAGTGATGTACCCAGAGCAACAAGTCAGAACAGCATTGATCTTTAAAAAAAAAAAACCCTCCCGGCATTAAAGCAGGTGGTTTCAATTGACTGCAGAAAGGTAAACCATGGCAGAGAAGGTGCCCCAGAGGTTAAACGCATCATATTCCATTCTTTCTGGCAGAACTGAGTGAGACAGATGACTTCCAGCTGTGCTAATAAACTCTTACTACAGTGCAGGATGGGAGGAGGGACTGCTGTTCGGTTTAGTGTTAAATTCTGCTAATCTATGTATATATATTAGATTTGTTATATTAGAGATAAAAATATAAAAGTTGGCAATTTTACTTTTATCAGTTGAACAATTTCTTGTACAGACAATATGAAGTTGTCATGCCTGTACCTGAGCTGTTTTAGAACAATGACTGAGAAAGTACAATACTTCTGTGACATTTTTTCTGTGTGGAGCATCATTAACCAACAGCCTTTATTTGCTTCATTGTAAAGAACAAAACCGTCACAGACCCTACAATTTCCCCTATATTTAGCTATTCACAAACCACCAGTTCCAAATCAATTTTGCTAAGGTTTTATTGTCATAGTATATTGTTCCAAACATTTCATACCATTAATTATGTTTTAAAGGGATTTCCCCCTTAATAACATTTAATCACTGTTAAATGTAGAAATCTAGCATAGTTTACTGTAATATTCATTGGTGTTTGGAATCCTTCATGTCAGAGATGGTCATTTCCACATGCAGAACAAAAATAGGAGCTATGGTTAACCTCGGTATTTACACTTTCTTTTTTTATCCTCTCTTAGCCTCGTATGGATCAGTATTTCAACCAAATGGAGAAAATTGTGAAGGAGCGAAAAACATCATCCCGAATCCGCTTCATGTTACAGGACGTGATCGATCTCAGGCTGGTAAGATTTTTTACAGCTGGAATAGAGTGGGGCCTTATTGACCTCCTTTTGACATTGCTTCAGGTGGCTGTAGCTGGCTGTAGGACAGCTTTCTTTAGACACATTTGAATACTGATGGATTTTGGCAATGTAATTTCCCATCACATTTCCAGCAGTTAGCCAGTGGTAATAGCTGATTCTTTCTGACATGCCAAAATACTAAGTTTCTTAACGGTCAGAGCCATTTCATGCCTCACATCAGGATGTGCTTATCTTACACGAGCTGTAGTCACAGTATTTCCGATCCTTTTAAGATGCACAAGAGCAAAGGAAGAAAAGTTTTAATACCAAACTTTTTGTTTGAAGAAAGATGTGAAGGTCATTTTTATAGTATTTCCATGCCTTTATGAAATTAAGCAGTTTCATTTCGGCTAAATATTTTTGTTAACATGAATGTAAATTTACTTGAATTTTTAAGACAGGTACCAAAACTAGAATTATTTAGTTAAGTTGTAGTCTAAAGCTTATGTCGATATCCTTTTTCCTTTCCCCTTGTTACGCACTTGTTACGTATTATAGTTATAACAGATGCCTATTATCAGTGTAGTACGATGAAGGATTGATGTCTTAATGAGAATACATAAGACAAGGAGTCCCCTGGGGTCCTCAGTGGTGTGAGTGACAGACACCTGACCTTTTGCCTTGCAGAATATTTGGGTGTCACGGAGAGCAGATCAGGGCCCCAAAACCATTGAGCAGATCCACAAGGAGGCCAAGATCGAGGAGCAGGAGGAGCAGAGGAAAGTTCATCAGCAGCTGCTATCCAAGGACAAGAGGAGACCAGGTCAGAAAAGCCTGATTTTCAGATACCTGATTCAAGTATTCAAAGTCCTCAATGGCAGTTCATAAAGTTAGCTTATTGGACTTCTTCAATATTCACAGTGATGCATGAGCTAGTGAACAAAAGTGGAAACCAAGAGAAATTGCATTTAGAACTGAGACCACAAGGCACTTTTTTACACTACGTTTTGTGGGAGTCTGGAACAAGCTATCCAGACATGTCAAAACTGCTACCCTAGTTGTTTTCAACAAAGTATCTGGATATGATCCTTGAATTGGGTCTCTTGGTTTGGCACTTTTTGTATAAAAGCAAGCAAACACGTTACATGGGTTAAATGGCTTTCTCTCTTTTGCAGCCTTTATGTTTTTATAATTAACCATAATCATCTTTAAAGCTAAAGCCCTTTAGAAAACTAAAGGGTTTCTATCACCAGCCCCCTCTGGGATCTTCTGCGCCGTCAGCAACAAAGAGCTTCATCTCCTAGTCACTGGCATTGCTCCCTAATATTGTTTCAAAGTCATTTGTGTTAATTTATCATTTATTCTCAGCTGTATCAGCTTGTGTACATCTCTGATTACATTTAGATGGGAACTGGGAGTTGACTTACTGAGATAAGATAAGATTACTTTATGAGCCATATACAATTTCATGCATAACATTTCTAGCAATGAGATGACAGAGAAATTGCTATCTGTGTGTTCACAGTGATGCAGAGAGAAGAGACCTGGAACACTGTGCCTGTGACCAAGAATAGCCGGACGATAGACCCTAGCAAGATCCCAAAAATCTCTAAGGTAGCCTTATCATTTATAAATGACAGGAAAGCAACTGAAGACATTTGTGTGGTGGAAATGTTATTATGTAGGTATTGCAGATATCTCACTTTAGTTCCAAATGCTTGAATAGAGAAAGAAAGATTTGGGAATAGTCATTTGTTGGTTTGTCCTTTGCAGCATGACTTGTGCCTTAGGTTTGTTTGTGGTTTATATCAATTTAGATGGCAACTCTTCATGCAGGAGCCTCTGGGTGCAGTTTACTACATGTTGGCTTCAAAATGAAACCTTTGCTGCATTCTGTAATGTTATTTCCCCCTAAAGTGCATCTTGTGAAAGCCAGTTTAAGGAATTTTTAATGCTGGAGGAATTTCTTAAACCAGTCACTGTATTTTCTAAAGGAGATATTGAAATATTTTTTAATAACCTTTACAATAAAACCTATGTTCTCTCAATCACATCATGGCTAGAAAAGGTCTCATCACCACAATTAAATTCCACTGACATGCAGAGGAATGTCACGTCTTCTTTCTTGATAATCACAACACCACCATCTGCTGGAAATCAGTGGTATTAATACTGAGAGGCTGTCAAGACACCTTGGAGCACTCATTAGCTTTTCTTCCAGCAGTAAAGATTTATCCTGTTACTTTAATAAATACAGTGTTGTTAGATAAGGCAACATAATACACTGTGGAAACTCTTAAAATATTACTGTAAGGGAGCTTAATTTGGCAGATTTGTTGCATTTTGATTGTTTTTTGTTTTTTGAGATTGTTCTCAAAATGCTCTGTTACAATTTAAGAAACAACATTAGTTACAATTCTAGTGTGCTGAATAATTTTCCTTTGGAAAGAAGGATTACACTACCCACTCTATTCCTTTTCATTTTCTGTAAACATGTTATAGTATTACAGTATTAACCTGATCGAACAGAATGGAAATTGGTTAAGGCAATCAGTATCATAGATTTATCACTTTGCAGTTTCATTTCCTCTTAATTGGAAGCATGCGATCTAAGAGTAGTGTGTTTTTGTCTGTCCACAGCCTACGATAGATGATAAGATCCAGTTGGGTCCCAGAGCTCAGCTGAGCTGGGTTAAGGGCAGTAGTGGAGGAGCCAAGTCCAGTGACTCAGGTGAGGAGATGCCACTCTCAGTAGTTGGGCTAAGGGCCTTAACAGTCTTTTCTCACCATACAGTGTGCACAGGACGCACGGGGGGGGCAAGGTGTTCACGATGGGGTTTATGTCTTGGTTTCTCTGAATGGTGAAATTGTTAGTATGATATCAGCTGAATGTAGTGTAGTGTACAGTTGTGTATTATGTTTTAAATGTGTAGTTAAAGAAGCTCAGAGAAGTGTAGTCACGTCTAAAAGAAACATGTAGTATACATAAATAATAAGTAATATATTGTTCCCTTTTATTGCTGTGTTCTTGCAGAAACTTAAAAATAAAGACCCCTGTTGTATTTTGTGTGGAAGGTGTAGACGCGTCAAGAGTTTAAAAAAATCCTTTACATTTTGTAATATGTTCAAATTCCCTAGAATCATCTTCCTAGTCTCTCACTCATCAATGAATACTTCATGTGCACCACACTGCAATCAAACTATTCTCCTGTAATCAAGAAATATTCTGTTCTTATCCTGTGTTCTGCATCGGTACTGCTCAACAGCTACAGTATTAAATTGCAACTTTGTTTGTTTTTTTTGCAGATTCATCCCGTTCCAGCACCACCAGCTTAAACCGTTTCTCTCCCCTCCAGTCGTCCCTGCCTGCGGCCACTGTGTCTCCAGCAGTGACCTCAGACTACGAGTCTCGGAGAAGTCTCAGCGGGTAAGTGTTCAGTTTTCTTCCTCGGTGTGAGAAAGGAACAAACAGGCAAAACAAAAATCTGACGAAGAAGTGAAATATGTATATAGACTTTGCCTGATCCTTGTCTCCAGGTTTATGGTGAAGATCATTTAACAGTGGAAAGAGTAAATGTTCAATCCATGCTGAAAGGTAAAGAAAAGAAACAATGTTTTGTTTGTGGAGTCTTTTTCAGGTGTGAGCAAAGGCTCCACAGCTGAAACATTGTTTCCTTTCTTTACCTTTACTGTACCTTTTCTTTACCTTACCTGTTGCTTTGCAGCCCATGCATGCTGACTCAGCTCCCTACTCAAATGTCTTTAATCATCTGACAATGTCATCGTTTGTGTTCTGAAAGAAATCACAAGGGGAGAAAAGGGCACATAAACAGATTTTCAGTCAGAAAGGTATTTAAAGGCTTTTCATTGCATTGCCATTGAAAATTGGTCAAATAAAATGTCTGAAGAGACCTGGATGTGGACTGATGCAAACTCCACAGTGTCAAACGGGAGAGTCTGTGCTTCTCTCGCTGATGTTGCTGCATGGCTGCAGGAGTCTTAATTTCAGGAGCAAAATATTTTTTTCTCCAAACTCCCGATGGGCTCCTGTGATCTAAGGCCGTTCTACAAACAGTATATGGATGGAAATGTGGATATGGCAGCTGAGTGACCATGGCCATGTGCCGTGATCAAAAACCACTTGCTCCGCTCGCCAGCGGACACCAGAAATTACAAGCACTAACAGCTCGCTTTGTATTTCTCTACCCTGTCAGCCGTGGCAGCGCCGGTCGGGAAAGGAACGATAAGCCGATGCCCGCAGCCCCTTCTCGGACCGGACCCTTCACGAGGGGCGGCAGCAGCAAGGACCTGCTGGACAGCCAGGCTCAGGAGGAGCAGAGGCACGACATGCTGGAGACGGTCAAGCAGCTGACAGTCGCCGAGGAGAAGCCGGAGGCCGAGAGCAGTCGAGCTCGGGACACCGGTGAGCCGCATGCATCTGCTCTTCCGCCCAGAAAGAGCTCAGATCTTTACAGAGAACACACTCAAACGCCTTAAATTACTGCATGACAGACCTAAGAGCTCATATTGCGCTGGTGAAGATAGCAGTTTAGGGACAAAGTGCTATACAAGGTGATAGCTCTTTGTATTATTATTCGTTCTGTGTGTTACATCAGCTTATTTGTCAGAGAGAGGGAGCCTTTATTATCCCCGAGGGGTAAGTTGTTTTACAGCAGCAGACGGTATAAAAAACATAAACCATACACATAAACAGGAACAAGAGAATCAACTGTTGAGAAGGGTTATGGCCACAGGAATAAATGAGAACTTGAACCTGTTAGTTTTTAAATGAGGATATCTGTCTGTCTTCTGTATTCTGGGTAATTGGAATTCATTAAACAATAGGTATGAAGGATCATCGAGGATGGAATGGGCTGTACACAAGAGATCCAAACAGTATAATATATTGCTGGCTCAGTTGTAATACCAAATAATTCCACATTTGAATGAATAGCTTCTGCGCCGGACTTTTAGATTACGACTCTGTAATACAAGTGTGTCTGTGTTTGCCAGAATCTGTCTGGAGTTTGTTACATCCTGTCATTCCAGGAAAGTCTGAGACTCCAGCGGCCCTGACAGCAGACAAGCCTACAATGACGGAAGAGGAAATGGAACGAAAATCCAAATCCATTATTGATGAGTTTCTGCACATTAACGACTATAAGGTAGCACATTCATGTTTTCAAACTGATGTGGGAACTCCAAAATAAACAGGCTTTGAAAGCATTGAGGTGTTGGAAGTATGTATTAATCTCTTTTTTTAAGGAATTTAAATATCCTTGCTTAGAGTCATGGAAAAATCTTCTGCATAATTAGCACTAAATTTCTTGACAGTATAGTTTATTAAAAATGTAATACCTGGTCAGTCACTGGAATTGAGGATTGATTGCACTGGACACTGTTTAGAGGTTATCGAGCCAGACCCTTCTGAATCCCTTGTGTGTGTTTGTACAGGAAGCAGTACAGTGTGTGGAGGAGCTTGATCAGCTAGCACTTCTACATGTATTTGTCCGGGTGGGTGTGGAGTCCACACTGGAGAGGAGTCAAATCACAAGAGATCACATGGGGCAGCTGTTCTTCCAACTGGTGCAGTCTGGAACCCTCTCCAAGCAAGAGTTTTTCAAAGGGTGAGCCCTGCAGGATACTTAACGCAGTTTACTGCAGGATATTTATGTTGCCAAGTCAAGCTGATGAAACTCCTTTTTCAGGCAGTGAATCGACTAGTGCAGGGGTGTTTATCAGTGATAGTTTTAAACCCGTGTTTGAATTTTGTTCTCTTCTTGTGTTTTTTACATGGGTCTGTGGTTTAAATACAGAATCTATGAAGCAAGTATATAATGTTTTTTAAAGGGTAAAGTGCATCATGCTTCATTAATTAAATGAATTAAATTATTAGCGAAGTGAAATTTCCCCTGCATACATTTCAGCAGATTTCCTCACTCGTTTCAAAAACACATTTTGTGATACGAGTCTGCAAGTATGAAATAATAAAACCGGCAGAAAACACAAAACAGGTGAGAGACGGTTCTTTACACGAAAGATTGTAGGAATGTGGAACAAGCTTCCCAGCCTCCCACTACATTTTGTTGAGCCAAATAGCTCAGAAATAACAGGATGGGATATATTAAAATCCAAATGATCCAAATAAGCTGAATGGGCAGCTCTTCTTCACACTGTTACTCTCTTTATATGCCTTTTAATTGATTGAATTCTGTGTGTGCTCTCCCCTGCAGGTTTGCAGACACATTGGAGTTGGCGGACGATATGGCCATTGACATTCCTCATATATGGCTGTATCTCGCAGAGCTGGTCAACCCCATGTTCCGTGACGGAGGAATCTCTATGAGAGAATTATTTACGTGAGTCAGGCACAGATACTCTTGGATCAACTTTTCTCTTTTAAATGTTGTAACAAATATTTTTCCCCATTTAATTACACAAAACTTTAGAGTGTAGTGTAGGCTTATCAAGTTAAGTCCCAGTATGTCATACTGTTGTCTTAATCTAACCGTGCTAAATCAGTGTTTCCCAGTCCCGGTCCTTAAGTACAGCCCCTATTTAGATAAAGTATTTAACCTTTAATTTTACCATTTGCTTGATTTTAGCTCTCTTTTACACAGAGTTCTTAGTTTCCAAAATATCTGACCTGACATTTATGTGTATTATGTCCGGAGAATGGAGCAAATAGATCTGTGTTTTAACTTCATTAAATATTGTTTTTTAAACAATTTATTAAGTATGAAATCAGGTGACACTGTCACACAACTAAAGTGCGTGTCCTTAGTGATCAATAAATTAACCAGTTAAATCTTACTTGGTAATTAAAACAATATTCCTAAATAAAAGGATCTGAGACTATTTTTAAATAGTTAAATTAAAGCTTTAATAAGTTTAATTGAAAAAGAGCTTTAGCTGAAATGAAAACCAAAAGAGATGGAGGTGTAGTGC